AAGTGCTTTTCGGTGGACGGCTGGACGTGATGAGATCAAGGGAGGATGTAATGAACGTGATGGGGGGCTGCTGGAGTTTGGAGATAAAGTTTAAAGTTTGCTGCAACTTGAAGTGTTGAAATGAAAATATGTCACGCTGGAATTCCGGTTCGCCTGCAGCTGACCGCATGTTTGGTTGTTTTGGTCTCAGGTCTTTGTCATCATCTGGTTCGGCTCCATCATCATCACCCTGAACTCCAAGCTGCTGGGTGGCACCATCTCCTTCTTCCAGAGCCTGTGTGTGCTCGGGTACTGCATCATGCCTCTGACCGTGGCCATGGCCGTCTGCCGGATCGTCCTGCTCAGCGTTTCAGGGACGGTCAGCTTTGCCGTGCGGCTGGCGGTGGTCACGGCGTCCTTCGGCTGGTCCACCTTCGCCTCCACGGCCTTCCTCGCCGACAGCCAGCCACCCAACCGCAAGGCGCTGGTGGTGTACCCGGTGTTCCTGTTCTACTTTGTGATTGGCTGGATGGTCCTGACGTTCTCGCCGTCGCAGTAGAGGACGTTTGTGTGGAGAGAAAACTCGGACACCAGAATCTGCCTTTGAGCGAAGATGAGTGAAGAGACTTTGTGGGCGCTGAAGCAGCATTTGGACACCAAAACAAACTGTTTGAGGAGCAGCAGGAGAAGCTGCAGACGGAGAGAAACGCTGATGAATATGTTCTGGTTTTTACAGTTGGTCTCCTACTTGTGTAAAAAGAAGCTTGTATATAGAAATAGTCCGTGAATGTTGAGCTCCGGGACCCTGATGGCTGTTCTTTCCCTCTTGGTGTCTTCGGGTGAAAGATTGAAATTCTGTGCTGATGCTTTTCAGCCTCCTGGCTAAAGTCTCCACTGTTTGGGAAATTGTTCAGTGTGTTGTGTTGTTTTTTGAGGGGATTATTTAGGATTTTATAGGCGAGTCACAGTGGAACACAAGAGGCGACTCTAGAGTAGAGTTTAGGTTTGAGAGTGCTTCCTGCTGGTCTGAACCTCCAGCCTTTCTTTTCCACACGAGACACTGAACAGTGTCAGATGTACTGCAGAGATGTCCTAAACTCCGTTATTAAAGTGGGCTGACGGTGGCAGACAAGGTTTGAGTTCAGCTGCAGACTGCAGACGTCTGATTCTTCTCTGTGATGTGAAAACAGAGCAGTATTTTTGATTTCCAACTTGATCAGCAGTACCCAATCCCATTTCCACCAGTGAAAGAAAATTAGAAATGAATGTCAAAGTCATAATTCAGTCACAATTCTGACAGAAAGTTTGAAATAAAGCCGCAAATATGAAATAAAAGTTATTAAAAGTCAGTTTTATTTTTGAAATGTTAAAGCTTACAGAGTCAAAAATTCTGATAAAAAGTACATTTACTTCTTGAAATGTACTAAGTCAGCAGAACTGAGTGGTGAAAGGATTCTGTCTCCTGTTTTTGCCTTTTAAAATCTTTCTTTGTTCAAACCAAGATTTGGAGGTGAAAAATGCACATTTTGCTACAAAAAGTCAAAGAAATGTCAAAATGATGGGATGTTTGTATTGTATCGACACGAGCATACATTTTAACTTGTAATTGAAAAATAATCAGACATTTGATTGAAGTGAACAAGTTTGAAGTTCAGTTATTAAGTAAGCAAACATTTTAACTTTGTCATATTTTAAAGTACAGAGCAACGAAATTACCAGTTACCTCCTGTCCAAGAAACATAAAAAGACAGTGACCAATACCAGGGGGAGACAGGAGGGAGAACTGTTCAGGTCAGCCAGCATGAGCAGCATCATTAGATAGGAAAAGGAAAAACAAGAGGGAAGATGAGGATTTTAAAAAAGGCTCCTTTAGGGGGCGCACAGTGTGGGATTAGGAAAAACACCTCAGCACATCAGCAACATGATAAACCATCACAACAAAACTCAGGACTTGCACATGTGGGAGGGGGGAGGGTGTTGGGGAGGGGAGGTGTAACAGCTCAGACACTGGGGGAGCCCACAGCCACAGAGCGCGTCACATCAGCCCACAGCATACTGCCCTGCATCAAGGGACGGAGAGGGGGTGGAGCCAACCAGGCGGTTGTTGTGTGTCTTCATGTATGTCTATGTGTAAGTCCATGGACTTCATCGCCGCCCAGACTCAATCGTCTCTGACGTCTGATGCTGGTGATGGGACACGGCCGTTGCCGTGGAGACGACCTCGAAGAGTTCTAGTCCAGAAACAAAGTTCACAGGAGAAGGAGGGGGGTAAGGGAGGGGCAGAGCATCTGTCTGCATAACATCCAGGAGAAGTGTAGAGGTATCAGCCTTCCAAGGCCGAAGCGGGGGAGCTGAATGAAGATATTGTATTTATGTATAAAACGTTTTTAGCCCCAAAATAACAAAACCTGCCATTAAATGAACGGTTTCCAACTTGTGGAGTGAATCAAATCAAAGCAGAGAAGTTGTCCCAGAACATCCTGCAGCAGCCAAAGACACAAACAGCAGCAGCTGCTTTACACCTCATTTAGTTTGTTGACATGTTTTTAAAGACTTTTTTCCCCCCAGTGCTTTATTTTGGCATAAAATGCAGTACATCATCATGTACAAAGTATATACAAAGGTAAACATTACCACAGCAAAACACCAGAGGGATCAAGGGTCAGAAAAAATCGAAAAAAAGAAACAAACAAAACAAATCAGAAAACAAACAGTCAAACAAGAGAAACCGACCTGACCAGGAATGTCCCTAAACAGTCTGTTATCGTTCTTAGACTGGGGCTATACTGAGCCTCTCACAGATGCACGCTGTTTTCATTGCTTTTTTTTATTCTTACTGTTTTTTATTGACGTTGCATGTTGGTGGAGTTCTGGGTGAAGGGTTCCAGGCTGGGTTTGGATTCTGCCCATTTTTTTCTTGTGGATGTGGGATTTGGCCACGAACAGTATCAGTTGCACCAAAAATGCTGTTTTTGTCAAAAAAAAAAAAAAAAAAGATAAAAATGTCCTTTTACTGTAGAGTGATCGCTTGTTTTTAAAAACTTCATTCAAACGGCGTTAAAAACAAATGACGTCATCAGGCCGCGACGGTGTGAACAGCCGTTAGCCTGGATCTATGGCCGTTCGCGGCTCCTGACGGTCGCGGCGCAAACAGCGGCTAAATCTCACTGCCGGTTCTCAGCACCGCGTCCACACGCAGCAGAGGCACAGCCGTGGTCTGCCCGCGCTCCGCAGCCCCGAGGCGGCCTGAGCCGCGGCCGTTCACCGTAGCTGACCGATGGACGGGCCGCCGCCGCTGCCGCCGGAGCTCTGGGTGTCCGTGTTCAGCTACCTGAGCACCGAGGAGAAGCACACCGTGCGCACCTGCTGCAGGTACCTGAAGAAGCTCATTGACCACCCGTCCCTGTGGCGGGAGCAAACCGTGGTCCTGTCCGACCTCCGCCGCTACACCTACGGCTTCTGGGACACGCTGCTCCGCCGCAAGCTGACCCGGGTGGCGGTGCGACACCTGCGGCGGAAAGAGTGGCGGCGCCTCGTCAAGTTCCTGCCGACGCTCACCGCCGTGGTGTTCGTGGACGGAGGGCGGCTGTACAAGGAGAAGTACATGAACAACCTGGCCCGCTTCCCCGAGCTCAGGGACATCGGGGTGCGGAACGCCACCTGGGAGGAGCCGATGCTGGGCCGGAGTGTCACCGCGCAGCTGCGGGAGCGGCTGACTCACCTGAGCGTCTGCAACGTCCGGCTGCCGTGCACGGTGCAGTTCATCAACACGGTGTCTCACCTGGACAACCTGCGGTACCTGCTCTTCCACCAGCAGGGGGAGGGCTACGGGCTGGACACGGTGCGGCCGGTGCCCTGCGAAGTCTTCCACCAGCTGCTGCTGCGCCTGCGCAAGCTGCAGCACCTGTCCTGGGGCATGAGGGGGGAGCCGTCCGAGCCGCTGCCCGACCACTACCTCAGCCCGCCGGACCCGCAGCAGCCAGGTGAGCCGGTGGTCCCCGCCTGACCATCAGAGCGCCTGGCCAGCTGCCCGCCTGTGTGCGGGTTCTGGTCCAGGTGCTGCTGTGGTTCCACGTGCTGTTTACACGGTTTCATTCTGTTTCCTTCCTTTAATCACACCTCAAACCTTCAGAAACACCTGAGATCAGTTTTACAGCTGCACAGCTCAGCATTAACCAACAGGTGGAGCTGTGTGTCGGCAGAGGACAGGTGGGTTCGTAGGTGGCTGGACTGGACCGGTTTGACAGTCTAGCGGTGGTTCTGAGCCTCTCTGGTCCTGTAGGAGCGGCCCGGTACGGCGGCCCGGTGCTGACCAGTCTGGAGCTGGTGGACTACCCAGAACCCCTCCTGCCCGAGAACGCGCTGAGCGCTCTGACGTCGCTGCGCTCGCTGACGGTCCGGTACCGGTACATCAGGGAGGGCATCAGCTGCCGCCTGCGGTCGTGGCTCGGTCCTCTGAGGCAGCTGGACACGCTCACCATCATCGGTGAGTTTAACCCTGAGCTGATGTTAAACAGAACGAGGTTCCCTGAACATTCCCTGAGCGTCATCAGGGAACGTTTTCTTCATGTTCTCAGAATATTCCCTGAGCTGCTAAGTTCACTTGTGTTTATTTCTAGTTGAAAGTGTTTAAAACACAAATCACTCATACGTGGAGTGTTTGGACCGGGCTGCTGGGGTTTGTTGGACTTAGGAAACCTTTAGCCCTCGTAGTCCTTCACTGAGGTTCATGTTTCAGCATAACATCCTGCAGCTCTGTGGAACCAGAACCTGGAGGAGGAGAGAGAACTCAGAGACGTCTTCTGTCAGCAGGACTCAGAAGGACTTTGGATGACATGATTTTGAGCTCAGATGTGAAGTTTTTGTTGTTGATATGTTAAATGACAGTTTGTCGCTCTGATAATTTGATACGTTTTTATTATTTTTTGAAGATAACGCGCCTTCTGAACCTGCTGGTGGTGTTTGGTGGATCAGAGGATCCTTCACAGAGCTTATTTCTGTCCTGGCAGGTGGGAACTCTCTGGCCACCTACACGACCACCATCCCGCCCAGCGTGACCAGGCTGACGCTGCGAGTCGCCATAACGCTCAAAGACATGGACTCCATTGCACCAAAAGTCCCGGGACTTAAGCACCTGGACATTGAACAGAACCGGTCCAGTGGCAGCCTCTGCAGACGGATCCCGATGCTGTTTCCTGAGCTCAGGACTCTCCGGATACGGTGAGCGTTTCACTGTGAGGCTGTCTGACGTCTCTGCTGAACAGGTCTGCCTTCAGCGTCTGCTCATCATTTCCTTATAAAAAGACAGAAAATCAGGAAAATAGTAGTGAAGAGAACTGAGAATTGTCCCTGAACACAGATTGTTGCCCTGATGGGTGCTGTTGAGTGTGACTGCTGTTTTCTCTGAGTCTCTGTCTCAACTGTGGTAATAGGCTCTTTGGTTGGAGCTTTGCACTGTTGTAGAGGTACAGGAACATGCTTCTGCTGGGCCTAAGCCTTTGGAAAACCTCTGTGTCCAAGGATGAGAGTGCAGTTTGCAAAATGTCTTTCTTTCAGACAGAAAACAATCATTTAAAAGGATTTGTGTTGAATTCACAGAGCTTGGAAGCTGCTTGGAGCTCTGCGCTGGAGCTGGAAGTGGACGTGACCCTTCAGTGTGTGAATGGAGCGTGATGGCGGTTTACAGCTCTGTCAGTCCGTCTTTAATGTGAGCTCACGGTGCTTCTCACTGGTGCCTCAGAGTTAAAGTGTGCCCTGTGTCTCGTCTGCCAGATTTTTCCGCCGGAAGCCGGAGAAAGACCTGCTGAGTCTCCACCGACTGCGACACCTGGTGCAGCTGGAGCTGCTGGTGGAGCGATCCTTCATCCTCAGAGATTACCTGAACGGTCACCCGTGGCCGAGTCCCTGCGTCCGGGAGCTGATCGACGAACTGCGACAGCTGTCCAAGAACAGGATCACCGTCATCACCGCCATGCGGCAGAGAAACCCTCTGAGAGAATGTGACTGCGTCTGGGAAGGCGACTGAGGCAGCGACAGCAAACTTCTTGGAACACGAAGAAGGCGGCTCTCCGAGTCGGGAACAGGAGTCACGAGTCACCAAGATGAAAAGAATCAGAAAAGCTGTTGGTCCCAGCAGGGGCTGAATGTTGAGAAGGAGCCTGAAAGGTGGCTGCTGCTGTTCACACAAAGAGCCTGAAGCTGAAGGTGGAGCCAGAGAGGTTCAGTCAGCTGGTTCTGAACTGGTCAAACATCCAAACAAATCCTTCATTGAACATTTCCTTCATGTCCTCAGGCTTCATCAGTGAAACATGAATGGCATGTCAAAAAGAAAGGCAGCAGATACTGCTGAGTGTCTGACTCCTGTCTGGTCACAGATCCAGTTTATGTAGGACGGAGAGAAGCAGCAGTTATGAGAAGTTTAAACTTCTTTAATTTGGTTTTCTGTCAAAACCCTTAAAACACAACAAAGTCTGGTCAAGAAGCTGCAACGTGGAAGCAGCAGAACCACGGTAGGACTCAACCACAGAAGATGTTGGTGGACTGAAATCAGAGCTGATGGATTAATAATAAAATCATTGATCAGATCTATATGGCGCTTCTCTGGACACTCAGAGACGATTAATCCTAGAAGGCTGCTGAACTGGAAACACCAGAGGAGGGTTGTTACAGATGTACCTGACAAGTGTGATGTTCTGTAATAAACTTAGTTCTGTGAGAATTGCTGTCAATTCTGTTCTTTTCTAACTTGGTTTTGTTCTGAAATGTGGAATCCGTCGGCTTTGTTGGAGTCCTCAGCTGGTTTGGTGAAAACGCTGTCAGTTGTTCATGTTGAATCAGATTTTGTTCTAAAAATGTGAACTCCTTTGGCCTTACTGAAGACAAGTGGCCTTTAAAGTTCTAACCTTTCTACATGTTGACTAGTGGCCCAGTTTTGTAAAAATTAATATTGAAAATTTGTTCAATCTGAACATGACTTTGTTCTAAAGTGTGTCATCTGTGGGCCTTCAGGAGGGAAACTGGCTTTTCAAGTTGTACATGTCATCTTTAAAAACAACTTTTAAGGTCACTTGGTGTGAATGTGTCTGTGTGATACAGCTTTATATGAGCTATAAACGTTCATTTTTACTTCAACGTGTTTTCTGAAAAGGCTCATCTATCCCTTGCTGGGGTCAAGTTGAGCCAAAGAACTTTTTTTGTGGAAAGCCATTGTTATAATTAGGTATGTTTCAGCTATTATGTATTCTTAATCTGTATTTTGCACTGAGCCTATGACTCTGTTTTGGATTTTTCACTGAGCACAGCATACGTCCTTGAAGATAACATGGCCGATGAGAACTGGGAGACAGCAGAAACTCCTCTGTACTATCAGCTGCTTTAGATACACGCCTTCTGGACAACATACACACATTCTGTATTGGATCCAAGCAGGTTCTGTTTACATCTCAGTGAACTTCCACATGAACAGTGGTTAGCCTGTTCACGTCACAGTAACTGGAAAATTAAACTCGGTAGTGTACAAGTCCAACTTCTGACTGGACTGTATGGGCCAGGCCCAGCCCAAGAAGATATCTGGAACCTGAAACCAAAGAAGCTCAGTTCAGCTGGACATGAGATTCCTCTCTGTCCCTCTGAATCCAGCGCTGCCTCACTTTACCTGTGACCTGAATAAATTCTACAACTGAGAACTGAACATTTTCTCCGGTTTGTTCTTGGGCTTCCAACAAAAGAACTGGGTCTAACACCATATTTTAAAAAGTTTGTTTTAGCTCCAAACCAACCCAGGGATGCTCCACATCCTCAGTATATGTACACGTTTGGTTTGTAGACGTTACTCACGCCCAGACTGGAGACGCCGCTGGTAGGAAGTGGCTCATCTCGAGCAGCTCTTGTGGTCTGAGTGTGATTTAGCTGAAGCAGTGGGACTCTGAGACACTGTGGAGGTGGACTGTAGTCTGACCGTCCAATCAGAGGTTAGATGTGCTGCTGGTATTCCTATTGGCTGAACAAAATGAAATGTAATTGATTGATGTAAGTCCACTGCTGCTCAGGTCTTTGAGCATCTTACTCATCTGTTGCTGTCTATCACATGAAACCTGAAGAAGAAAATATGTAGTTTCTATGTGCTTCCAGACACTGTGACGTGTCTTCTGCTGCAGAGGATTGTGGGTCAGAAAGGCAGAAGGAAGCGGTCAGACTTCCTGGTGTCTTTGACAGAATGCTTACTGGGACAGACTGAATCTTGTTCTGGTGAATTAAACTGCGAGTGTTGGAACGATGGCTGAGGATTCCCTGTTTCACTGTTTCCCCTCTTTTTCAGCAGGTTCTCCAGATGTTTCCTCCTCCTGATGTGAGACTTTAACTTGTTAAAAAGGAGGTTAAATGAGACCTTTGAAGAAAGAACGAACCCGTTGGTGGATGAGTAACTGAATTCATGAACAGTGACTCAGGTTGTATTGTGACGTTTGTGGTTTTCAGTAAGTCAGTAAACACGACAACTTTTTTAAAAACACTTTTTTATAACCCAGGTTAGTTTTTTTCTTTTCTTTAAACAAAAACGTTTGAGCAATATGAACAAAAGGCAAGTCTCCTAAACTTACTAAATACATGAGGTTTTTCTTGAAAGCTTCCCTCATCGTTGGTGTCAAACTGCTTGCAGACTTTTCAGCTAACTTTTGGGAAATAATGAAGAAAAATTTCAGAGTTTGCTGGAAAACATGGGATGTATGAAATAAAGCGATAAAACAAACCACAGTCCGTCTTGGTGCTTTTACTACAACGGATCCTCATGAAAAGCAAAAATTCACAAAACCTCCCAGAAACTTCAGGCTCCATCTCGTCTCTCGCTTTTATTGGACGTCGACGAGCGTGTACGAAGAGATGATTTGGCCTTGATCCCAGTTTTTATCGCTCACAGAACTGCAGCCAAAAAAGTCCTCTGCAGCTCAAAAAGCCAACAAGCTCAGATTTTTACTCGTCCTATCCCAGACTTTTAATCCATGGAGACTTTCACTTGTGAAGGTGAGTTCACCTGAATACATCTAAGAGCACCACCTGCTGGAACCCAACCAGCATCAGTGTAAAGTTGGTTATCAGAGTCCAAACTTCTGAATCTTAGAACTCCAGCAGCAGCGTCAGCGGCTCCACAGCCTTCAAGACGATCTCCTGTTTCTGTCCGTAGATGCCTTGTTCTATCTTCGTTCCTGCCTTCGTGCACTTGCTGGAGGCCGCCATCAGCTCCCTGCAGGCCGACACCAGGCTGGACAGCAGCTGAGCGCCTCGCCAAAACTCACAGCCGCTCCTGAACCGCATCTTCCTTCGGACCGGTGGCTCGGCCAGCAGTGAGTCCTGGGGGACGAACAGAGCGCTGCCGGGGAGGTCGAGCAGCGACACCAAGTGACCGCGGTCCTTCCGGAAAAACTTGGTGCTCATGAGACTGTTGGCTGTTGGAACAAAAACATTAAAGCTGGCTTAATTTAAACAGATCTTTAGCTTGATTTAATGGGACGTTAAGAATAAATGAACTTCAGATAGATTCCTGGGGTCACCAGCAACCTGCCACTACATTAAACCCTATCATTTAATCATTTTCTTCAGTTTAACTCTCAGCTCCCCGATGAAGACTCTCCGTCTTCAACAGTTTTCTGGTCATGCTGTAAGTTTACACTTTGACCTGATGGTGGCAGTGTTGTCTCACTGTTATAGTGAAACCATCCATCCATCCATTATCTATACACCGCTTAATCCTCACTAGGGTCGCGGGGGGGCTGGAGCCTATCCCAGCCGACTTAGGGCGAAGGCAGGGGACACCCTGGACAGGTCACCAGTCTATCACATGGCTACACTTAGAGACAGACAACCAAGCACACTCATATTCACACCTAACACACCGTCCTAACCGGGATGCGAACCGGGGATCTTCTAACTAACTAGCTCGAAGCCGCAGCAGCTGGGTTACAGCATTTTTTTGTGACAACAGCTGTGCAGGTGAAGATAAATCTGAGGCTGCGGAAAAGAAAACAGAAGCCACAACCTCTAAAAGTCTTTAGTTTGTCCAGAATCAGAACCGACTCAGCTGAAAAACTCCAATACGCTTCACGTGTCCATCCACGTGTACTCTTTGGTGAATCCTTGCATTCGTTGGGTTTTATGTATACTTTTCTAGGTTCTTACATTAGTTAGGTCATTCGTGATATAATGAACACAACAGGATTCAAACCGATTCAACTCTTTCGTCCTGAGCTCTGTTCTGTTCTGTGGACATAACAGTGATTGGAGCTGCAGATCTGTTTGGTGCGACGTAATGACAAGTTTAACATCAATATCTCAGTCTACGGGGAGAACATTAATGAACCTGCAAAAACTGATAATAACGACAATGATAACGTTAGTTCTGTTCAATAAGCTGCTCTGACAGGTGATGA